TCAATTCAAGATTTTTACTTTAATTCTTACAAGTTTCCTACTCACAAAGAAAATCAGAAAATTTCAATCCAATGCACTGTAAATACTTTCAACTATTATCATAAAGAGGCATGTAGATACAATTTAAGCATGGTTATGTTTCTATATTTTCTGCTGATTCGATTGTTTATCGTAAAACGACTGTTTACATAAATTCAGAGGACCATGATATTGTGTTACAAACTGATCGATCAATGTGAGGCCTAACATATATGTTGAATGTTTCATGCCCTGTGAATTCTACAGAAACAATTATTCTTACGAATACGTCAGTTTGCTTATGTCAACAATTCTATTTTGTAACTACTCGTATCATATCTTATTAATATCATCATTAAGTAGCGAAAGTCATTATCAGTGTAACCATCGTGGTTTATCTTTGTGGTAGCGAACTTAACTCGTACACACGCAGTAATGTGTTCGAATCCTGGCCAAATTAAACTTTTGTTTCATGCAGCAGCCATGTAGTTGTTACCGATTGCAGATAATTGAATAGTACGATCGTAGGGTAGGCACAATGACATAACTCCTTATGCAAGATCTCACTATTTCCAATCCCTGTGCTTGGGACCCTTGACCAATGCCAGATATTTGTTCCCTTTGTCACCTATTGCCAAGATTATTTGGTACAGAATCGATTTCTAAAGTGCACAATTACTTCATATTCAAGACATAACACCAATCTGTAGCTTCAAAGGCTACGCTTAATAGTCTAATTACTTAGTTACCTACTTTATGGCGCAGGTTATTTTTTTGAAAAGACTATTGTTATTCGGCTTGTCAAATAGTAGCCCACTTTCTTAATGGAACCCCAAGATTCGTCACCGCGTTCCCAAAAGCCTGCCACTGGACTGTCGAAACTTCGTCTTCTGTTACCACTTACAAATTTCGATAATTTATGTTATAAAGTTAATACGTTTTGGAAAACTGACTTATAATTAACAATTTCATGAACATCCGTCTACAAAAATAAATTATTTTAAGTAATAAGTTTATGGATTCTCGCCGTGATACTGTAAAACTATATGCAGTCACATGTTCAGATCTATGTGGACAGATCCTGACATTTTTGCTACAATCACTACCAATGACGCCGTTTATCGTAAATGGGTATTTAGTGAAGTTTCAGTCTGTAAATATTGTCTTTTTTCTCAAAAGTAATATTTTACATTCAATGTTAAACTCTAATCTGTCACAAAACACTAAGACGTATCTTCTAAAAGAAGGGTCAATCTTATGGGTTACAAATCAGCGATATTCCGTTTACTTCAGGACTTCCGCTCAACCTCCACGCTTCTTATTTGTATCGACTCAAAACTTTCACGGTCAACGAGTGGAACGGTCCCAGTGACATACTAACTGCGATTAACCTCTTCGACTGTCTGTGATGGGGAATGTGGATCAAATGTCTTCATTACTCGTTTCTTGTAAAACTAAACATCTCGGTCGAGTGATCAGAATCCTATGTAGGATTTGAGGTTTTCACAGCGGTGAGTCTGAAGATGGCTGTCTTACGGGTTATTGCGCCATGTGGTCTGGTAGATCTCTACCAACGTTTCAAAAGTCATACTGCCCCCGTCATCATACCCTGATTACGGAGGCAGTATGACCTCTGAAACGTTGGTAAACATCTACCAGACTACACAGCGCAACAACCCAGAAGACAGAAATCTTCATACTCTGATGACGGAGGCAGTATGACCTCTGAAACGTTGTTTAACATCAACCAGATTACACAGCGCAACAACCCAGAAATCTTCGTTCAGAATCCTACTTCGTCTTTCACGGGTCAAGTCTTGGCCTAGAGATCGGCCGTCCTCGTCCAGGTATTTATGGTTTCCTAACCTACCTTAGACGCCACGGTGGTCTAGCGGTTAGAACGCTGGCCTTGTAATACTGGGGTCTCGGGTTCGATTCCCGGCGGTGCCCGAATTTATAACTTGTGTTGGGCAAGGCCGTGGTCTAGGCAACACGGAGTTTTCCTCCGTGGCATCCCAACAATTACTCCATTCACACCCAGAAGAAGGCAATGGCAAACCACTTTTGGATCATCTGCCAAGAACGTATATGAACAGGTCCCAGTCCGAGAAAAGGATGGAAGGATCCTGTTCATATGGACCTGTCGTCAGACAGAACACTAAATAAATAAAAATAACCTACCTTAAACATCAGAGCCAAGATTCTACTTTATTTTATTCCAAGAAAGCTTGCTTCCACGTTATTTTCAATTCATTAATTACTAGTGATTTCATCACTCGACGCTATATAATCTGAATTAGCAAAAACATCTTTGAAACCTATTAAATATTTTCTTGTATTCCGTATAGGGCACGTAGTAATGAAGTAAAGACTTAGAACCAATGGTTTCAATCTCAAAGTCGTGGGAATGCCTTGGCTGAAACACAGACTTTGTGTTAATGATTACCTATAAATTAATACTTTTCAGCATTCTTTTGTCAAATAGTCCCCAAATCTAGCCTTATGGAAATGTGGGTTGTACAGTAAATGTAAATGCTGAAACCCCTCGTCTAAATTAAAGGACAGGTGGGCACAATTTTTGTGATAATATAATATGATAACATAACAAATCATTTTAAAATGTATATCCGTGGTTCTTTCTCGGCTTTATCCAATTTCTTAAATCAATAATAATAATAATAATGTCCATATTCATTTACCAAGTATTTTAAGTGTCTGAAATTTTTCAGATTCTAAAAAACGTCTGAAAGAAAACACATTAATATTATCAAATATTCCATCTTATTTCTTTTACTCTTTACCCTATCGGAAGAAATATAAATTTTGACATTATCTTTAAGCATACAATTTAATCCAGCGTAAATCTGGGTCCTATTCAGCTTAAATTTTTCGTGACAGAACACCTGTTATTTTTTCGCCCACCTTGACGACTAATGTTTAGAAATTCATATCTTCTATCGGCCTAAGTTCATTGTAATAACTGTTCTGAGTCCCGAATTCATCGGACAAAAACTGAGTTTTCAAGGAATTGGATGCCAGTTGAATGTTTTGCTTGGTATCGCTCTGACCTTGGTTTAACGCTACAATCAGTAAGAATTATAAATAAGGTTTCATTGTCCGTAAAACAAAATTTACTCTGGTGTAAATCAGGTTTCCATTCCACGTAATCAGCTCGTGAACACCTATCATGAAGAGAATGCAACATGTTAACATTGTGTCAGCTGTGCGACCTTTATATTACGTGTCTCGAGTTTTGGGGCTTGGCCTCTTCTCTTTTACTGACAGCTTTGTCGTCAAGGAAATTAAAACCTTATGGATTCTGTACACAGTAATCTTATTAATTGCTGTGTTGACCTGTGGTGTATATTGCACGGTGCAGCGCGTTGGACAGTCAGGTCTGTTAGCCACAATAGTTGTCAACGAGTTCCTCATGATGTTTATTGGAGCTTTAAAAGCCGTCTCATCCATATTCATTTCTGTCGCTATGAATGGCGCAAAATCAAGGAAATTTATTTCCACAGTTGTTAAAGTTGACAGAAGCCTGTTGTCTGATCCCATTACAACTTACAGGAATACGTTTATTTTCACTTTGGTTCAAGCGGTTGCAGTGTGGAGTTATATAGCAATCTTGTTCACATATGACACGTGGGTATGGAAACAGGTGGCTGAGAAGATGAGTATTTGGTACCTAATCTCGACATATCCACATCGTATTGTGAACACTGACACTGTTGTTCAGTCCTGCAATCTTGTTCTGCTATTAAAAAACCGCTTAAAAACTTTAAACAAAAGACTTGGTTCAATTCTGCAGGAATCTGACGAGCCTTACATCGAAACAGCTTTGCTTATTAATGTACCATACAATTCTGTTTTTAGCCATACTGAAAATGAAAGACTTTTTTCAGGAATGAAACGTTCATCTTTAATGTCACATGTAGAATCACCTCAAACTGTTAACCGCCTTCGACAACATACTAAAATTTCGAAAAAGTGGAATTTATATAATATTAGAAAACTTTACGATGACTTATGTGACATTAGTGTCCTTGTCAATTCAATGTATGGTTTTCAGCTTCTACTGGAACTAGGCGTGACTACAATGGAGCTAGCTTCGGCTTTGTATTTTATATTAGCAGCAATACTGAAGATCCAAACTTTCGAGAGAGATATTATTGGCCACTTTATCAGCCTCATGGCAGCGTGGATATTTCTAATCTCATTCAAACTTATCAGCATCACAGCTCCTTGTCATTCTGCAACTACAGAAGCGGAGAACACGGCTGTGTTGGTGCAGAAGTTGCTGTTGGTGCCAAACTTTGACCACGACACAGTGGCAGAACTCCAGCTTTTTTCTCAGCAGTTACTCCAATGTAAAATAAAATTCACTGCTTTTGGTTTCCTTATTCTCGATTACCCTCTCCTGTTCACTATCATCGGAGGCGTCACAACATACCTCGTGATCGCCATGCAGTACGAGAAGTGAGACTTACCGATATTCGTGCTTCTAAAAGTCATTTTCATTTACCTCCAAGGGTTATTAAGACGATCGTTCCGAACGAAGGCGGTGACGCAGAGAGATGTACAAATGGCGTGACAAGAGATGGACAGAGGCGTCCAATACTGAGCAGCCAATTTTCGTGTCGGTCACTTTGACTTACACGATTGGTCATCAGAAGTCGTATTATAAGAAATATGGATAAAACTTACATTATGTTACTGGTGTTAATGGTATCACGTCCAAAAGGCACCAAAGAGAGAGAAATTAATGGCAGTTTGAAGACAACTTCCTAATGAGAAGCTTCACAATTTGTAATCGTCGTCTGACGTCATGAGGGCAATAAACTGGATGAGATACACGGAGCACATAAGACGTATTGAAGTGTCCGGAAATTGTTAAAAATGTTCTAATTCTAAAAATTTCAATACAAATTTACCTAAACCCGCATTCTTAAGTTTCATTTTAAAAATAACAACCAAACTTTATTTCGTCCTTCCCAGTTGTGTATTTTGATGGAATTTCCCCATCTTAATCTTTGTGCATTTACTGTTTCTTCCGCCAAATCTACAGTCGGAACCTACTCTAACGTCCATTATTTCAATATCCGGATTGAAAATTTAGATTAATTTGAACAGTTACGATGTATAAAAATATCAACTTGCTTCTTTGTAAAGTGCCTATATAATGAACATTAAAACGCTGAAGGATGCGGTTTTCGTGATACAAATTCCCCAGTTAATCATCAGTCACATGTCAGATACATAATAAAACTTTGTAGAAAGTGAAACAAGGAAAGTTGAGGCGAAATATTGTTTATTGTACTTAGGACGACTTAGTTGCACTTTGATCGATAGGTCTACTACTGCGTGTTTGTACGTCGCGATGTTTGGTACATCATTTATTCCCAGTAAACGTCGACTGCCTGACACATTGCCACGGCATAATCTAATTTACATACATTTACTTTCTCATTAACACATTTCAGGACAATCCAGTGCTCAACTGAACGTTGCATATGACCAACGGGATTACAATCCGTGCTTACATCCACAGGTAAACCCGTGTGACAGATTCAACGAGCAAGATTTACGCTGTCATAAAGTCATAGGTCATCAGTTAAGTCAAGAGTTCTTCGTTTCCAGAAGAAAGTACTGAATTTAAACATGATACATGAATGGACATTAATATTACGTATATTAAAAACGTACTTTTAAATGTTTATAATTCTAAGGTGAAGTTTATGACATCAAGATCAGTCAATTTAAATTAGTGTGATATTAATATATCAAAACATTGAAAAATAATATCATTTACATATGTTCAATATTCTAACTAGACAAGCCGGCTTGGAACTATGGACCAAATGGATGCGTATTAAATTTAAACGATTCATGTGTTGGATACTGAAGACAAATGAGACTGTCTTTGTTTGGCGAAGAATCTGTTTGTTTATTACATGTGAATGTAATGAAGCATTCAATTTGTTTTCCTCGTGCTTTCCGCCTTGAAATATAAACAGGTCTTAGAAAACAGTCTGAATTATTGACTCTGCAGTAATGTAAATCTTCTTTGAAGCTGAAGCTCATCTAAATATTGTTTGAAGTCAGTCCGCACCTCAAAGAAAACACAGCATTTCTTCATTACAAAGATTGATTGGTTGATGCTCTTACGCAAATAATCGCTTATTCCGAGATTCATACACTAATGAGCTTTAAAGACTTAACTTCCTGTGTCTGTGGATAAATTGTTGTCATCATTCACGACGAAGTGATTTACGTGTTGAGAATTTCTCTTTTCTTACCGACCTATAAACTACTCGTTTGTATTCGATAATCTGAATGTGCACTGTTCTTTACTAGGAACACGACACTTGATAGATGTCCATACCAAAGAGCTTTGCTATTGCCCTTTGTCAAAATTTCAGCGATTGACGAAGTACGAAATAAAAATAAGGTTATGTTGTCTACGGGACAAAATATTCTGTGCTGTTAAACGTGTTACTCAGTTTTGACTGTTTAACTGCTACCATCGAACGCAATGGAGAGGGTGTTACCTAAAGCGAATTTTGTGTTTTCTGTGCGACCTTTATATTACGTGTCTCGAGTTTTGGGCCTTGGCCTCTTCTCTTTTACTGACAGCTTTGTCGTCAAGGAAATTAATACCTTATGGATTCTGTACACAGTAATCTTATTAATTGCTGTGTTGACCTGTGGTGTATATTGCACGGTGCAGCGCGTTGGACAGTCAGGTCTGTTAGCCACAATAGTTGTCAACGAGTTCCTCATGATGTTTATTGGAGCTTTAAAAGCCGTCTCATCCATATTCATTTCTGTCGCTATGAATGGCGCAAAATCAAGGAAATTTATTTCCACAGTTGTTAAAGTTGACAGAAGCCTGTTGTCTGATCCCATTACAACTTACAGGAAGACGTTTATTTTCACTTTGGTTCAAGTGTTTGCTGTGTATTCGTATGAAGCAACCTTGTTCACTTATGACACGTGGGTATGGACACGTGCTATGGGGAGTCTAAGCATTTGGTATTTTATTTCTGGCTATCCACACCGTATTGTGAACATCGGAGGTGTGCTTCAGTTCTGTGACATTGTTCTGTTGCTGCGAAGCCGTTTTCAAGCTTTGAACTCAGGACTTGGTTTTATTTTAAAAGATTCTGTTGATCCTTCTATTGTATTTACCAACGTAGCCCATGAATCAGCTTCAAGTTCCGTTGTAATGAGAAATGAAAATAGTGTTTCAGAAGATAAAAGTGTGACTATAATACCATTTCGAGATTCTTCTCAATTTATGGTAAACCGTATTCGGCAACCACGATTTAAAATTTTGAAACAGAAAAATGTTCATGATTTTAGAGAAATTTACGATGACTTGTGTGACATTAGTGTCCTCATCAATTCAATGTATGGTTTTCAGCTTTTGCTGGAATTAGGTGTTACCACATTTGAGCTAATTTTGTCGTCTTATCTTATGCTTGCAACAATTCTGGGAATCCATAATGTGGAAACAGACACCATTAGTCAGTTTATCAGTCTCATGACAGCGTGGCTTCTTCAGTATGCTTTCAAACTTATCAGCATTACAGCTCCTTGTCATTCTGCAACCACAGAAGCGGAGAACACGGCTGTGTTGGTGCAGAAGTTGTTGTTGGTGCCAAACTTTGACCACGACACAGTGGCAGAACTCCAGCTTTTTTCTCAGCAGTTACTCCAACGTAAAATAAAATTCACTGCATTTGGTTTCCTTATTCTCGATTACTCTCTCCTGTTCACTATCATCGGAGGCGTCACAACGTTTCTCGTGGTTGCCATGCAGTACAGTAACTAGGGACATGCTAACCACATGCAGGTCCCAATTTTGAAAATGAAATTCTTTAATATGACCTTTATAAAATCAATGAAAGCGTAAACATTTTTCACTCCTTCCCGCTACATAACAAATGAAAAAAATTAATTCTCTACTGCCGCTAGTTGCAACCAATAGTAAACTGGTTGTTCACGAAGAAGTGAAATGAATCACAAGTTTTCATATGCATATTTACTTATTAATACGCTATACGGTGTAGAATCCTTCTGTGTTGTTTCATGGTATTTGCTGTGTATAAGACATATTTTCTATTTGTCACGCTTGTAAATTGCTAAAATGAATTTACACTATTTAAATGCATATGTCTTTATTAAAGGTAATTTTGTGATGAATCCTAAAGCATAATTATGAGATACTTGTATGGTATAGTTAAATGTTTAGTATTTGGATATAGCATCTTAATGAAACCTATACAGTGAGACTCTGTAGCCAGAACCCAAATTCTGTCGAGCAGCTAGCTAGAAGTCATAAAATGTACGTGAGATAAATCAGGCTGGACTCTGGACACAGAACCTTGCCCATCGCCACAGCTACGTCTAACTTGAGGGTTTAAATACTGCCTGAATGCAGGCGAGGGGTATTGCGTTTTTGGACAGTCGGCTGGCAAGTGCGGACTTAACCAGGTTTGGTGTCCCGAGTCGTCGCCGAACTCCGATCGGCTAGAATTCAGGGTTCGGTCTCCACAGTTGACCGCTCTGTACCACTACTGCTTAATAAACTACCAGCGTATGTACATTCGTCTACTCAATGACCGGATTTCAAAAGCTCCTTTACCTACCGCTCGGTCGTGTTCCGTTTGAGATGCAGCACAACACAACACGAGTTTTATCTCTTATTTCCTATTCAGATTAATTTTAAGATTTGTGGATTGAACATTTGTTAATTTATCTGGTTTCAGAATAGATATTATACCTTATTATTTGAAAACTCAGTGTATATTTAAAACAAATTTTACAATGCAAATTTTATTTAGCTACTAACGTAGGTTAACACCACTTCGCAATTTCATGGACACTATGACGGGTTTACTAAACCAGCGGAAATAACTTGACGATCATTCGACCACCATAGATATCATAAGACAACTGTGCCTCACATAAGCAAGTACATGTACTAAAGAACGTGTTTTTAAAAAATCATTATTTAAAGAACGAAAATTTTCATAAAAATGTCGAAGACACATAAGTAGCAAATTTAATGTAGTGCGAATATTGTAAAATTATACACAAATGAATCAACAAAACAAACATTAATAATTGTAATGCTCACCATATATTTTACAACATTTAATGACATGTGAACATCACAATTTTGTTCCCATTACTTCTCGTTTCAAAACATCTGTTGTAGTTGTAAAATCTTTGATAAAATAACTTGATTGGAATGTGTGTTAACGCGAGAAATTGTGTATTGTGATTTTTCTTGATTATTTCTGTAATTTAAATATATCGTTATTTAATTATGCTACGTAAGCAAAGTATCTACACACTAACAGTTTGTATTTATTGTTATTGTTGTTATTATTATTTTTTATATTATTATTTTACTGTGCATATATTGTCTTTATGTTAATTAGATTATGTAACTGTGTGGTAGATACCAGCATTTCAGAAAAATATGTAGCCTTTATCTTCAAGGTTCAAATCAAGATGGTGACAGTATATTTCTCCGAAACGTCAGTAGGCCTGTAAGCGTAAAAGACTACGTTTTGTAAAAACAGAAAACACAATCTGAACTAGTAACGCAATAGAAATCCTGAATTTCATAGAATATTCAGCAGATTAAAGATCAAAATGAAGTCTGGATATCTTTCGGGAAGAACCCAGTTCGAATCTCAGCCTGGGTTCCTGCTATAATAACTAATTCTCTCCGTACCTTCTACAGTCTTTTCTTTATTGTATAATAAAATATTTCAGTCCATCTGACAATACTATCTTCCCCATTCGATCATTACCTCCTCTCAACTCCTTCTACGCCACATATAGTGATATTTATAAGCTAGAAAAAGTAAATACCTATAATATAATAAACATATAACACCATTAAAACATTTCTACATAACGTTACGTTTTACTTAAAGTAATAGTCATATGAACAAAGTTTCTTCACGTAAATATACGGCGTTTAAAATTGTAAGGGCTCTTACCAATATTTACAGTTACCTTTATCAGTTCAATGCCCCCCCCCCATGTTAAGAAATTCTCTGAGGTGTAATTAAAGCCAAAGGAAACAATGGCGGTATTGCTGTAATATATACGCTAGTCACTCTGAGCTTCTGCCCCATTGTCTATTTCGTTTTAGAAATACGACAAGAGTCAAATTTGATTTGTAATATGATATACAGATCCAGATCTTTTGGTACATATCGGTGTCCTGGGTTAAAAGTACTTCTAAATTGCTTTCATTAATTACTACTAATTTTTCTACAGTTTTTATAAAGCGAAACCAAATACGACTTTCCGATGATGAAATTCGTGTTACTGACACAAGCCAAAGCTACGCTAGCGTAATTTTATTCCTCTAAAAGCAATTTTAATATAGTTCCCTGATTATCAAACACGTTCGAAACTGTGAGTCTCATATTTTTTGCTACAGATTAAAATTAATATTACTTTTAAAACATTTTTTGTGTTAAAAGAACGATTATGAGATGAGTAACAACTGTGCTTTCAACAATTCTGAAAGGATGACTTATGCTAGAATATGTGGCACACTCTTCTTTTTATTTTGTACACGGATATTCAAATTTTATCTTGTCTTTTACATCCGTATTTATCTATGTTTCTTGAGATCATCTTTGGTGAGTTTGAATTCGTTCTTATTGCTGTTATAGGCCAAAGGATTTTCCGATTCTCTTTCCTGCAAATCATTTTTGATTTCTTCTTCGGTTGCTTCACGCAATTCTTTCCCACGCCCGTAGTATATTTCTTCGGTGTAAATGCGGTCCTTTCTTCTGTAGGTTCCGTGCAGCTAATAAAAGAATGATATTATTAGTAATACATAACATATGTGAGACTTCAGATCATATCTCGCAGAATTCCTTTAATCAGCACAATGTTTCTTCAATAACAGCATCAATATTTGAACAGCAAGTACTAAATCCATGAAACACAGTGCTTCCTGGGTAGCTAATAGTAGCTTATCTAGTCAATAAATTCTCCGTCTTTTAATTCTGAAGTCCAGTAAAATGTGGAAAAGTCTCCGCCACTGGCCGCTACCATGAATAAGATGACTGCAGAATTTTTTCTTCTAATATGGTTGTTATATTATTCTCCCATCTACACTTAGGTCTCCCAAGTGGTCTCTTGTATTCGGGCTTTTCGTCTAAAATTGCGTATTCATCTTATGCGCGCTACATGCCCCGTTCACCTCATCTTCCTTAATTTTATCACCTTAATAATATTTGGTTTTGAGAGCAAATATTAAAACTCCTCATTACGAAAATGAATCCCTTCTCCTCTTAATTCCTCTTTCTTAGGCTAATATACTTTACTCAATATCTTATTCTGAAGCATTCTTTTCCGAAGATTTCGCGTAACGTGACTTCACTTTTCTCAAACGTACAAAACAACAGGTATTACTACTTTAATAACAAACTAATTACTTAGCTGAGGTTTTCGTTCAGGTTATATACTGTGTACAACCAGCAGGTACTGAACTGTTAAAAGAGATCGCTATTATAGAAGAAAAAGTTCAGCTCCGCAGAACAAAATCTCACAATTTAAATTCAAATCAACAGAAAGGCCCCTCTAAAGGACTCGTGTTGTAAATTATGAATTTGAACAGTCAAGATTTGTTGACATGTAATTTAAATTCCTTCTAATGTAACACATAAATCGCATATATAAATTATCTGCCCTGTGTTCCTTTGTTCGGTAGCACTTCAGATAATTGGTTACAGATGATTCAGGTCAACAAAGGAGCAGTTCAACTGAGATTTGACACAAACTCACGGACCGCTGTATATGCAATTCGTTGAGTCACTTTTTAATAATACCAATCATCATCACAATTATTTAAGTTTTCCAACACGAAAAATTTAGCCTAATAGCCTCTTAAGATTTTTAACATAGTCTGTCTGGTAGATTTTTATATCATCAAATTATTATTGTAGACTGTACTACAATATCAAGGTTTTTATTATAGTGGATTTCGAAATGAACTTATACAAATTCCCAGCCAAACTTAATAAAAATTTCGAATAGATTTTGAAATACAACACGAGGAGATTTGCTTAAATTTTGTAATATGAACTACAGCTATCATTTTAACGTGTATATAGATGTAAAATTTCTTGGAAATTAATTTGTCTTTCTAGCTTATTCATTTATCGCGTTGTTATTACTTCATCTTAGGTTTGCAACAGAAGAAGACAATCTAGATTTCACAGCTGTCAAACACGTTCTTTCACGTGAAATATAAAAGTGGTGTATTTTTATTGTTTCGTTCCATTGACATAGCCTGATAACGATACAGGCCTGTAGAATAAATAAGGTTAAAACTCACAGTCGACAAATGTCTTCGTGTGTATTTACTTACTATGACAAATGCTCTTCCAGTATCATTACCGCTTTCACAACTATCATCATAATTATCATTTCTATTAGTGACTTAATTAACCGTAAAGAAAATAGTATTTAGGATAAACACATCGCTAAACAAGTACAATATTAAAATTATAATAAAGACATAAGTATTTTATAAGTAAAATAAAATCTACTCTTTACTTCATATCTTATATAGCCGTTACTCAATCACGTCATTGACATCAATAACGTCTAACGTTGTAAGGGGAATAATTCTCATTGCGTACTGAGTATTAAGTATTTAAAAATTAGAGACGAGAACTTGGTATTTTGCTGTCATCAAACATAGTAGCCTCTTCATTAATGATTAGGCGTTTTGTCACGTTATTCATTAGTTTGTTCACAAAAATAATATCTCAACTAACCTTGTCCCAAATAAAGCAGTTGAAGGCAAAGTTGACATGGAAATATTGGTGATGATTATCGTGAAATATGGCGCCTGGCTGCCATGGCTGCCACCAGTAGGCTTTGAAGTTAATACCGGAGTGGTCGATAATTCCGTGGTAATATGTATACATCATTATAATGTAAAAGGGTACTGAAAACAAAATGGATGTTATAATTCAAATCCTATGACAATATCATTAATAAATATAAATATAAATATTTGTGGGTCAGAGTGGCAGTTGCTGAAATAATTTAATCAAAAGTAAAATAACATTTATACAAAATGAGATTTCAGGTTCTTAGAGTGAAAATTATGAACCTAACCTAACCTTCTGGAATATTGTGCCGTGTAGTCTGGTACATTTTGGCATGCATTTCAGAGGTGCATACTGCCTCTGTCATCATGCTGATAATGAAGGCAGTACGCCCCTCTGACACATCGATAAACAACAACTAACATACACGAATTAGTATTCTAGAAGGCTGTTAACTTTATTATTTGTATACGTTACCGCTTGTATTTATGAAAAGGCAAACGTCTCTTTTGCTATTTTTAAATCCTAAAACATTTTATTTGTATCTCAATGAATATTCATATCATTAAGAAAAACGACTGAAAAAGGTATTTTATTTCATTTACAAAATCTATTAAAACTTGGTAATGAGTAAGAAAGTCAATTAAGAATGTTCTGCCACTTTACGTGGACGTTCGTGACCCGTGCCTGACCGATTAGGACTGTTCTGAAGGTAATAAGTGTAAGTCATGATTCATTTTGTTTAGTGCAACGTGTCTTTAGATATACAAGTTTTGCCAATAAATATTTCGAAACTATATTTTTGTTAAAACTCTTCTTGTACTGGACTTTGGTGTTTTAGGATAACTATCAGTTTCGTCTATAATAAGTTTTGATTTCTCTTAACTCCACGAGGAACAATCCTTCTTTAGACGTTGATAGTACTCTCACTTGGTCAAGAAATTAGAAATCAGAACCCAAAGGCTCGTTACTTTTTCCCAACAGGCTGCAACCGGTCTTTATACTGAGCCAGATAAATCCAATCCACTCCCTCCAACAGTACTTCGCATAGACCCATTTTAATACCAAACGCTTGACCACTGTGTTAAACCGTCCCGATATGAGAAACTGTTGATGTCGTGTAACAAGAAATGGCATCGTATTCATTTCTGTTTGAAACACTGGTCGTGAATAAAAAACGAAGCTGAAGTGTACTTACTGAAGTGAACAGGTATGACAAAGAGAGGGGAGGCCAAGATTAGTTGTATGTGCACAAGCTCCACTGGGTGAATGGCGGTCGTAGAGAATGCCGTGGGCTGTTTGTATTTGTGATGCAGTTTGTGAAAATGCTTGTACAAGAACGGCGTATGATACATTCGGTGCAACCAGTACGTCATGTAGTCCTGAAAACCAGTAATATGACCAGATGTTTACTTCTACCAGACTACACATCAGTGCAACATAGAAAGCAGCTATATGTGTACACACAGCAGTTAAAACTTCAAATCCTACTTAGTAAAAGATTCGGCACAACTTGTTTTGCAAGTTTATGTCTTTAAATGGTACACTTGTTTATAATGTTCAATTGTAAACAAATCTTTCAAGCATTTGGCAGTCTTTATTCTTAAACTTCCACACTTCCGAGTCAAAGTGGGGCATTTAGAGTGTTCAATTTATTTATGAGCTCGCTCGTAATTTCAAAAGGAAATTAAGGATGGATTAAATTAAGGAAATATAGGCTACCATACAGTAAATCACCTTTGTCTTGCAGGTTCCTATCTAAAAATAAGGTACTATGGGTTATCGGGACACATCGCTTTAAAAATAGGTTAGGTTAGGTTAGATTAGGTTAGGTTAATGTGTTTGGATAAATGACATACTTGAAACTTATTATATTTTATTTCAATAAATGACAAATTATTATATTTTATTTGGATATGCATGCGATGTTAATTGTTGTTACCTCGCTTTCGGTAGTATTCCTTCATCCTGCAGAAAAGAGACAGAATCTTCCTCACCGTTAGGTAAATCCCAAATTTTTAATATTGTACCGAACAGCAATAAATAACTGAACGAACTAACAGATAACAACAACCGAGTATACGGGTATACTGATATGCAGGCGCAGTTTTCCGTCCAATCCAAGTCCAGATATTCGACTCTCCCGTTTTGTGTCCCGATAACCAATAAGTATCGAAAATGTTAAGGTTAGTGTATACAAAATTTTAATTGTAGCTGCTACTTTGTATCGGTGTAAAACTGGGTCTTTAGCTTTAAGGGAATAACACAGATTGAGGGTGATTAATAAAAGGATGCTTAAGAGAACATTTGAATCTGTGAAGGGTAAAGTGACAAGAAGGCGGAGAAAACTGCATAATGAGAAGCTCCATAATTTGTTATGTTAACTGAAAATCAAATGAAGGAGCTGAGATGAGTGGGGAATAACGCGCATGCGAGGGTTAAAAAGTGCTAAAAATTTCGTTGGAAAACCTGAATAAAAAGACCACTCGGAAGACCTAGGCGTAAATGGATCTTGGGGAAATGGATTTGGATGGTGTGGATTTGACTAATCTGGCTCAGGAGAGGAACTGGTGGTTTGCTCTTATAAATATGGAAATGTAATTTCGGTTTCCATTAAAAGGCAGCAAATTTAAACTATCAACATATCAATAATGACTCTGCTCAGTTGATTTGATTATTTATTTTTTTAATTAACGGCTCATTGTCGTTTATCATTTGTGGTAGTGACTGTAATCGATCAACTGGAGTCCTGCGTGTTAGGCCGAAGGCAAATGGGATAAAATCGCGAAATAATATCACATATCAAAACGAATTCAACCTGCTGTAAAGTGTGTGTGCATGATACTTGTTTCTATCAATTCCCACTGCTTTGGATTACGTTTAAGTAAAGTACATAACTTAAAAATTGATATGCTTGGTTTAGATATTATACCAACAGTATACAACGATTACCTTACTCTCATTGCGTAACTGACCCCACACTACGCCGTTACGAGAAGACGTAAAATTGTTGCCAAACAAATTAAGGCTCATTAAACATAAATTCCATTTACTCCGAGGTTCATGCAGAAGTATTTAGTTAAATTTAAATCCAAATAATAAGAAGTTTCGGGTTTAATACGAAGGTGGCATGATAACTGCTAACATACAAAGAGATTTTTTTATCTTAGAATAACAATGGGCTTATTTTCTAGCGCCACCGGCAATTACCCAACTCTTCAGACGGAAGAGACCGACGGCCTTCCCGTTACGTTAACAACTGAGTTTCGCACCGACAAACCTACAACCTGAACACGTCAAAAATATCTTTCTGCTACCTCAGCAAATAATGCATACAATCGGCCTTGTTCCACATGCTTTCCTGGCAAATTATAGGTATTATACAGAGTGATTCAAAAGGTCAGAGCCAAACTGAAGGAGCGTATAGAGAGACTCAGAGAGAACGACTTTCGAATAGGAATCATGGCCCTGACCTTTTGAATGAATCTGTATTGAAACGCTTAAGTTCACGGTAGCTGTTCCGACATTAACTTGAAAATGGCTAAGGAATCCGACTATATATTTCCTTACCTGGTAAATGAATATGACTGGAAATTGAAGAAACCACCAAATCCACGTATACTCATCGAACTTATAGTAGACTGTACACCAGCCACCATTGTTGATGTAACATGCGATGATTGCAGTGACCGTGTTGGAGATGAGAAGACTCAAGGATCCCAATATGATCTCATGGCGCTCCAGGTCTGGGGGTAGCCATTTGTGAGGCTGACACTTCCATTCTTCCGCATTATCTCTCTGCTTTACGTAGTAATACCACTGCGGTTATATAAAAAGAGGTTGTTTTTTAAGTAACTCAAAAGAAACAGCCGACTTGATGCAATCAAACCGACCTTCGAATAATTTCAAGGACTTCCTACACAGAGTGCTTCTTAAAACGTGGGTCAGATTTTGGGATTTTATTACACGAGTCTTTTCGGTAAAATTGCTACATAATGACTGTCCGATTACCAAACGTTTGCACCACTACAAACATTCTAGTGTTTCAAGATACTGCGCTATTAGAAGTCTACAAGCTTCATGCTTACCCCCACTCCGGTAAACAACTCCCTCCTACCCCCACAACTCTTACCTCATTCTCCCCAGTAAAAAAAACTATCCTGTCATATATTTATAACCACACAATGCGTTTCATGACGCTTATGACGCATATATTAAGTTTTACACTAGGCTGGACGTTGATAAATAAGTAATTGCTTACATTTGGAATTAATATTTGTAGTTTAACTAAGTATATGGAAGGTAACTTTCATCGTATTAATAAATATATTAAATAACAGACGCATAAACGTCTGTTGGAAATTGTTGTTACTCCAAACATAAAACACTGTTGAAGCTGAGACATTAATTAATCTACTTATAAAGTAAGTAGACAATAAATACGTTTGTGTGAGAAGGGAGGTAGTGTTTCGTGCAGAAGGTTGCTGCAATGAAATACTTTCTTTCTTTAATCTAAAGCTTATTCTAACAAGTGACCTTTTAAAACTGGTATCCTGCCCCGGAAATTTTGTTATTTCTTTTACATTAAACCTTGCTATTTTTATAGTACACCGCAGTCTACAAGACCTCTTTGTATTACAGTACCAGATGCTGATTACAAACACGTAATCCATAGAAAGTAAATCATTGAATTGGGTAAGGAGCTCGGGGCGAGAGTAAGCCTCAACCAGTTGGCTAACAACACCTAGCTGGGTAGAACTGGATTACGATACATTTCACCTGATTGGTTCTGCTGTAATTCGGTGTATGGATGACCACTGACCCACGAATGTAAGACAGAATATTATTTTATTTTTCAATTTTCAAAGTGTTATGAACGCTTCGACAGTGGCTTCTCAATCACGTAAACCAACGATTAAATTATTACAAATCAATACGAAAATCTAATGTCGATGTAAACAAACATCGAAGTATCAAGTTGTAACAGAAATGACTTGGAGACTCACGTGCAGAAAGCCGCCCATCAAGAAGTACATGGCGTAAGCCGTGACTGACACACTGAACCAGAAGTATTGCAGATCCTTCAGGTAAAGTTTTTCGAGACTGATGTCTGACAGACTGAACGTCGCATTGCCATTTCCGTCTGCTTTGTTGTATTCCAGGTATTTCACAAAATGAACCAAGATAAGCAGCCATTCTCCTGGAAGAAATACAATATTATATTATTTTCAGTAGTTAAGATTATATATCGTCGAATGAGAGGATGTCAATTAACTGGAAAGGGTGTGGAAGGAAGCGGTCGTAATCTAATTTAATATGATTGAGGGACTGAGTAAAACCATAAAAACCTCAGTCAGGATATCCTGCCTCTAGGCCGAGATTTGTACCCGAGACCTCCCGAATACGAAGAGAAGCAGTCGACCACGACGTTCGGAAATATTGTAATTGATAACAGATGTTAATTTTCGATCAAGAGTACATGAAAATAAATTTTGAAATCGATGGTAGTCTTCTCAGTTGTGGCATCGTGTGAATTTGTAGGTACTAGCGCTTCGGAGAAATGTTTTGCCTCCATCATCAGGACACTTCAGTAATGAAGACGGAGAGAAAATAAATCTTATATCAGTTTATTATTTAATTAACATAATGCCTGTCAAAAATAAAGGGAAAATCTAAAGTATTAAAGACGCAAATAATCACTTATATTGTCCTACAAAATGCACAATTCCTCAAAAGCAATACCATAGCATAAAGCTTAAGATTCCTTGACAGCAAATTATCATAACCAGCTAACGTTTGCTTGTTCTTAGCTACTTTCCTCACAGGCTCACTTACCTATTATTATTATTTAGTGTTCTGTCTGACGACAGGTCCATATGAACAGGATCCTTCCATCCTTTTCTCGGACTGGGACCTGTTCATATACGTTCTTGGCAGGTGATCCAGAAGTGGTTTGCCATTGCCTTCTTCTGTGTGTGAATGGAGTAATTGTTGGGATGCCACGGAGAAACCGGGGAAGCCCCCGGAGAAAAACTCCGTGTTGCCTAGACCACGGCCTTGCCCAACACAAGTTATAAATTCGGGCACCGCCGGGAATTGAACCCGAGACCCCAGGATTACAAGGCCAGCGTTCTAACCGCTAGACCACCGTGGCGGCTTCACTTACCTATACATCATTCTAATTGTCTAAAAACTGTAACAAATGTGCCTAGTGCATGCGACTCATTGAAGTTAAAGCCCAAGAAACACCAGAGTTTGACCTGCAGAACCAGTAAATACATTTTATAGACCACATAATTAATATTCTGATTTCGGAAGGAATTATATTAATATAACAGAAAATATTTTGAAAATGACTGATTATCCATATTATGCAACATATATGAATAACTACTTCAGTAAATAAATCATCTATGAACGTTATTTAAATTCGTGAGCGTCAGGACAAGACAGTAAAAATATTATGTGATAATGAAGGATGTACAAACACACACACATCGACATGATTAGAGTGGAATTACATATTCAACACCTGGCGCAGGTACTTGAGCAAAGTGTAATCCCTACAATGATAGCAAATCAATCATCGTTGACAACAGATCTGTGAGAATTAAATCGATCGGTGCGGTTGCACTGAATGAATAAAGATGATTATCTAACTGATAATGTATCCGCTATTTCATCTCACTTGTTTCTGTCACGTGCTGATAAAAAATTCGATTAAAGTTACCCGTGTGGCCATTTTCACCTTCAATTTTGGTTGGTTTGTTTGTTTTTTATTCAAATACTGTATTATTTACATTAATACACGTAACGTTCAATGCCAATCTGAAATCAATTTTAGAAATTCATTAAGATGATTCTTGTTAGTTCAGTCCTTGTAGTTCATAAAATACTCGATATTTGTTCTTTTCTCAGGTTCTTTTTAAATGGCTAAGGCCAAACCATTTTCACAAATAAGTCTGACTAAATTTGGAATTGATAAACTACATTGAGAAAAATTCGACTTATAGGAAATATGACAACGATTAAAGTCTATATTCTATAAGGAACGATTTGCGTACTTCCTCTATTTTAAGACGCACCTTTACACATTATAGAATTTCTGAAATTTGGTGCGTCTTACATTTGATAGCGTCTAAGAATTCATGTCTAAAAAGTATATGACTACATTGTATGACCAAAGCGAAAGGAAAATCCTTATGTCCATAAAACAAGTCATCATACAGCAAACACAAAGTTAACAATAAAGAAGGTACCAGAAGTATAATACAATTTTTTATGTTTAAATATTGACAATTCCTACTGCAATATACGTACGTATTTTTCACCCTTAAAATCTTGTCGGATCCCTGAAACGTCGGTAAACTTCTACTAAACTACACGGCGCAACAACCCTGAAGAGAGCCATCTTCTGACTCACCGCCGTGAAAACCTCAAATTCTACTTCAATATGTATCTTTACTGACTGAAGTCTCTCAACCGAATTATGTGTCAGACAGTATAGATGTGAATATTAAAAATGACAAACTAATTATTTTATAACCATGTAGCCATGTAATTCAATCGCCATAACTTAGCAAGGATGGATAAAGAAAGGAAAACTTAAGCTTGTAATATTTTTGAGGTGTGAACTTTCCTTATGTGGTCACATGAAAGGCCAAGCCACGTGTAAATTAAAAGATGTGATGAATTGGCTGATTTAATAGTACAGGATATCGACTAATGTCTGGTGTTACCTTACAGATGGTGTAATATACAGCTCTGTTTAGTTACTTGGCTTTTGCTTATTTCTTTCCGAGGCAAATACACGAGTATTTGGGAAGATTTGTTTAATTACAGGGACAGTAAATAACGTTACAATTTTGTGAAAATTATTTCAGGCATAAAACGAATCATTATGTTTACTTGCGCAATAAATTCTTGTTTAGAGGATTACTTCAGCTTAAATCTACTTAAAAGTGACTGAAAGGTTTCATATGATTTTCAAGGTTTATTGTAACGCAAGTAATCAGCTAGGAGTCGAAGTCGAAAAGAAATGGGAATTAGATCAACTTAAAGATTACAGACTAAGATAATCAGTATAGTACCCGTCAATTTACTTGGCATCTCCACACTATAGAAGTGGTTCTATAACACTAAAAAGATCTCTTCCTCAATCTCAGTTTACTTAAATTTTTTTCAAGTGGAAATTCTTTCCAGATATTTTCAGGATATGTTCAGGTACGACAGAAAGTACCTTAATGTTAAAGTCACTGGTTTAAAGAATTCAGTCTAAACCGTTTTCGAAAACTATACGAGATACTACGAGTTTTTAAATTGTGTAATAAAAATAATTTCCCCGTTTTGTTTATCTGTTTATTCAATCGTATATATCATTTTTTAAATTAGTCATTGTTTTCCCCCACCGTTTATTTAATTTATTGACAAGTTATAATTATATTTATATAATGTTTTTACTTAATAAATTTGAAGTTGTATTTTATGGTAAAAATAAACTGTAAATTTATAATTCTTATATTTACTTTTCTTTTAAGCTTTCTTTCTTTAGCCATAATACCGTTACATTCTAAATTCATTCTTGAACTTTGTCATAGTTTATCTTTGAATTCTGGATTGAAACATACCTCTAATTGTAGCACCCAATGTAAATACAGCCAAAGCCACTATTATAGAGCCCATGTAGTTAGGCAACTTGGTCCAGATCTTTTCCATTGTGTCACTGTATTTTTCCATCCATGTAACCGCCATCGGATCATAGAAGTGGTCCCCCATGCTGCTACCATCCACATGTTTTTCTGATTCTTTAATAGTAGTCCCCATGTTTAAGTAAGAATCATTCTAAACTTGTCACTCGCGACAACTGATGATAATATTTTGGTGTACCTCCTTTTATATAAAATTATTAAAGTACACATGCACTTAACAACAAATATTTCATATCATATGCGATTCTAAAGGTCGTTAATCGTATCCAGGGTTCAACGATTAGATGAGATTTGGCTATAAATAAAGCACATGATGATGCATGCATGCATACATAAGAACTGAAAACTCATGTTAATTATAAAAAAACACAATTTATTAAATACAGATATTGACGACAGGTAAGTACATCGAAGTACCATAAAGATTCTACAAAGATCCTGAATAGAATAGAATTTTCTGAAAAAGTAATTTCATGGATAATGATGCCTTGATGCATTAAAGTACGCAAAAAATAGCGATCACAACTAACACGAGTACGCAAACATTCTCAAATTTGCGATGTATTTATTCTTTATTTAATGACGCTTTTAGTATCTACACTATTTCGACCCGTTTTAAAGGATTACAGTGAGTAATGAATTGGTATAGTTGTGGAAGAAAACAGTAAAGTAAAGTAAAGCTGTCCCACTATACGCCATGTTGGCGCTTGAGGGGAGAAGTTTAATAGCTTCTACTCAGTCTTAACCTTGGCACCAGGTGGGAGTGAATGATCAGCGTCACGCCCCGGTTACGCTTTAGGCAGCCGTGGCCTAATTTATATCTATCTCGTCATTTGCCTTGAGGGGCTTAGGAAAACCATGAAAAGTCTCAAGCAGGGTAGCCGGTCTCCGGGCCGAGATTTGAACCCGGGACCTCCCGAGTGCTAACAACTCAACTACGACATTCAGTTACTTTCTCTACACAAGGTATTTATGAATTAAATATTATTGTTCTCGTCTCTCGTCCTAATTACAAAGACGTTTTCCGAACAATCGACTAAACTATTAACAAGATATTCTTATTTTTATTATTATTTAACTAAGCTGATATTAGCTCAGTCTAAATAGCGGTGAATGATGGGATGATTAACAAACAATAAATTAAGATAGTGTAATTGCGTCATATTGTGAATATTATAACAATTATTCGTTTTAATCCGTCTGATCACAATATATTAATTTAAAATTTAAAATTTTATAATTAAGATAATAAAATATCATTCATGTTCCATATCGATTGATCGATTTACATTTCGGAACATTTACACAACATGTTTCAGTTTTATAAAACTATCATCAGGTGTAAAATACATCGAAGAACTTAAAACTCAATTATGATTTCTGTAGTTTTTTGGTGATGTTTCATTTTTAATAGTTTATCCATTTAGGCGAAGGTGTTGTTTTTCTAAATGTTATTAGATGTACATATCGGCCTGTAAGTAAATGATTGAAAGATATACTAATGAAATTGAAAGAATTTTGAAAACAAAATGCAAATATATAAATTATAGTTAGAAAGTAAAATTAAAAATAAAAATAAATAAAGATAAAACAAAAATAAGCATACCAAAGATGTAGGACTGAGTGTCCCGATGTGTCCAGAAGTAGTAGTGTCTTCGAATAGGTGTGGGTCAATACTGATTGTGGTTGCTTGTGGAGGGAGTAAGTGAAAGGTGGCTGTCGGGGTTGGGGTTAATGATCTGTAGAGCATTGAAGATGGGGTTATTAAGATATATGTTATTATCATTTAGACAAATGTTTTGTTTAAATGTTTGTTGTATGTAATATTTTTCTATTGTATCTCTATGTCTTTTGTTTGGTACTATTTTTAATATGCCCATTGTTTCTGTTATTGTATTGTATGCGTGTCCGGTATTTAGAATATGTTTTGCGTATGCAGAATTATCTTTGTTGTGTTTTATATTTGCAATGTGTTCTTTATATCTGTGTGTGAATGTACGACCCGTTTGACCTATATATGTTAAGGGGAAATCTTTACATTTTAATCTGTATATGCCTGGTAAGTTGTATTGATTATTTATATCTATTGGTGGTTTTTGTTTGAGAATGTTTTTATTGTATTTTTTGTTTTATAAGCTACTTTTATTTTGTTTTCTTTGAATAGTTTTGTTATAAATTTAGTTTCTTTACCTATATATGTAAAAGTGGCCCATTTGTTTTGTGTATTTTCATTTTCGTTATGTTTTGTTGTTTTTTTAAGTTTTTTATTTAAAAAGTTGTAGTTATTACATCCGTTTTCTCTGAGGATTTGTTGTATTATATTTAATTCTATTTGTTTGTTTGTTGTGGATATTGGATATAGGTTTTTTCTATTTATTAGGTAATTGATAGACATTTTTTTATGTTCAAAGGGGTGGCAAGATGAAGCGTGAATTATGGTGCTTGTGGTAGTGGGTTTTCTATAAATTTTGAATTCAAAGCTTTTGATTTTTCTTATTATAGTTAAATCTAAGTAGTTAATAGTATTGTTTTGTTCAAGTTCTATTGTAAATTGAATGCTTTGATTTATGTTGTTGAATTCGTTAAGTACTTGTTGAATATTTGTCTTTTTCATATTGTAAATTATTAGTATATCATCTACGTATCTGCTATAGTATTGGATATGGTTTTTATTTAAAATGTTTATTATGTTCTAAATATTGGAGGAATATTTCAGATAGTATGCTTGACGTGGGGGCACCCATAGGTAGTCCTGTATTTTGTTGCCAATATTTGTTATCAAATTGAAAATAATTTTGATTAATAATAAGGTTTGTTATTATTTTAACAAAACTATTCAATGAAAACAAAATAAAAGTAGCTTACAAAACAAAAAATACAATAAAAAACATTCTCAAACAAAAACCACCAATAGATATAAATAATCAATACAACTTACCAGGCATATACAGATTAAAATGTAAAGATTTCCCCTTAACATATATAGGTCAAACGGGTCGTACATTCACACACAGATATAAAGAACACATTGCAAATATAAAACACAACAAAGATAATTCTGCATACGCAAAACATATTCTAAATACCGGACACGCATACAATATAATAACAGAAACAATGGACATATTAAAAATAGTACCAAATAAGAGACATAGAGATACAATAGAAAAAATATTACATACAACAAACATTTAAACAAAACATTTGTCTAAATGATAATAACATATATCTTAATAACCCCATCTTCAATGCTCTACAGATCATTAACCCCAACCCCGACAGCCACCTTTCACTTACTCCCTCCACAAGCAACCACAATCAGTATTGACCCACACCTATTCGAAGACACTACTACTTCTGGACACATCGGGACACTCAGTCCTACATCTTTGGTATGCTTATTTTTGTTTTATCTTTATTTATTTTTATTTTTAATTTTACTTTCTAACTATAATTTATATATTTGCATTTTGTTTTCAAAATTCTTTCAATTTCATTAGTATATCTTTCAATCATTTACTTACAGGCCGATATGTACATCTAATAACATTTAAGAAAAACAACACCCTCGCCTAAATGGATAAACTATTAAAAATGAAACATCACCAAAAAACTACAGAAATCATAATTGAGTTTTAAGTTCTTCGATGTATTTTACACCTGATGATAGTTTTATAAAACTGAAACATGTTGTGTAAATGTTCCGAAATGTAAATCGATCAATCGATATGGAACATGAATGATATTTTATTATCTTAATTATAAAATTTTAAATTTTAAATTTATATATTGTGATCAGAATAATTGAAACAATAAATTATAAAAAATATGAAATAATGTGTTCGTGCCTAATTTAAGGTCTATTCAGGCATGTGACTGGAGAGGCTGAAATAAACCACGACAATCCTAAGTAAGAACAGTCATTCTCCGAGATTCTTATCCGGTACCTTCAGAATATGAAAAAGGAATCACCAACTTTGGTCTTCTGGGCTGTAATGCCGTGTGGATTAGCACGTAGGTACCAACGTCTCGGAGAAATCTTCTGACACCCTCCATAGGGCATATCGTAAAGTACTCAAGACACAAACTGTAATTATTCACAACACAACTGTGATTATAGTAATACAAGAACGTGTGAATCTAATAATACAACACACGAATTAATGAACATTTCGGACAGGAAGTTTTATCTGCGGCAAATTCTCATCGAGCGACGAAAGACCTCAAATTACGGTCGTACCGATTTCAAGCATTGCTTCAGCAGCAAGAACAGTTTGTGGCTAGAAGAATTCAACATTGCCTTTGGTTCCATCGTTTCGTGTGAAGGGTATCACGTGTGGAAGTTGGGAAGTTGTGGTTGCATCTTAATATATCTTAGTGAAATGATAAAATTCCACGGTACACATAGGTCAAAACTGACTGATTAGTGATTTTAATTCCCTTATCACATGAATTGGTTATCACCAACGTCTTAAAGCACCTGGCCACAACGTACTTGAGTGAAATACATATCCTCACGTAATTTGAAGATAACACATTTTCTTTGGCGAAAATTGATAAATCTATAATTCTTTCGCATTTACAAGAGCGATGGTTCTATACGTATCCAACAACGAAAGTGTAAATGTAACTACAATTAAGTATAACTGTACAAATGTTATTAATTATTTTAAGACGAGAGATACATTAAGGGTAAAGTCACTCACCACCAGAATCTGTTTCTGAAACGTCTGGGTTGTAACGCCATGTTATCTTGTATCCTGAAAATGCAAATGATGCGGTTCTTCGCAATGTTGGTAATCTTCTACCCACAAATTAACATTGCCTTGCAAAACACAAGATCACAATCCACTGAAATGAAACCCTGAAGATCTTATATTTGCCGAAGTTTCGGAGGCATACATCACCCATATTCTCATGATACAAGATTACACGGCTTTTCAACACAGACGAACGTTCGTTGACATTCAATATGAAGCGATATTTATTCTTACCGCTCTAATAACATGAAATATCACAGTTAATTTCATATTAAATTATAGAGATATCGAGGAATATTAAGGCCTACATAAAAGCTTAAATGTAAATTTTGTTAATGGTAATAGTGATATAATACGTATATATATTTTTAATAAAGATCACTTGAAGGTACCCCATCACTTAGG